ACTAAAGGGTCACAGCATTAGAAAGGTTGAGAACCACTGTCTTAGAGTGATGAAAATGTTCTAAAATTGGGTCCTGGTAATAGCTGCACAATTCTACAAACTTACTAATATCACTAAATTCGCTTATAATGGGCAATTTTTATGGTATGCACATTTTATACCTCAAATTTTTTTATTTTAAAAAAATCTGAGAAATGTGTATATATATACATATATATATGTATATATATATGTATATATATATATCTCTGAAATTCTCAAATTGCCTACCTCATTCCCAACAAATACAACAGAAAACTTAAATAAATAATATCCAAGGACTAGAGCATAGCCACTATCTTAAATTGCAATTTTATCTGCCCACGGTTCACTTCAGTAACTACTAAACACACATACACACCACAGCTAAAGGCTATAAATCAGGCAGTTCCACCCAGCTAAGTATTTGAAATGGAAAATGGAAACACAGGCAAGTTCAGATTTTGTTTGCTCTACACTGACTACATGTCATTTTAATGACACAAATTATATGCCTCAGAAGCATGAAGTTTGATATAGTTCAGCAATGTAAGTCATCGACTACTGTTATGGTGTTAATCACCAGACTCTAGCATGTATAATAATGTAACAGAATGGAGAGTGGAGTTAATCTTGTTTTCATCTCTTGTATTTTTTCTGAAAGTACACTGATTTACCATCTAGAAAATGACTTGAATGTTTTGTTTCAAAAATGTACTTGTCAAAATATTTTTGCACATTTTGATCAAGCAGCCCTCAAATTTGTTCCTTTACAGTTCAAATATAAATTCAAGATGCTCAGAAACAGCTTCTTTAATTAGCAGACACATGGTCTCCAACTTTTGATGGCCCACCTTATAATTTCTCAACTTCACTATCATAGCAAGATGACACACATTCAGAACCTGTTGTTCAAATCTTAAGCTTTTCATAAACTAGCAACATACAGGCCAATGCTGTCCGGTCTCATGGTGCTGGGCAGTGGTAACTAATCCTAGCTCCCAGTGAGTCACACAATGTAGAGAAACTATCTATGCACTAAAGTATACTGGATGGCTATTATTTTTAAAGCATTATGTTTTCTGTTTTCACAGTCTTTTCATGTCTGGAAAATGTGTATATGTGTATGCATAAAATATTCAATATTTTATTTAAAAATGAGGCTTTGTGTTTAAAGATTCTGCTCACCATTCCGGGCATGGTGACATAGACCAGGGTAAGCTACGGTGTTCAGTCTATTAGGTACATGAAATGCATTGTTTTTTTCAGAGCCAAGGGTCAAACCAAGGGCCACAATGCTAATCAAGCACCCATATTGCACTGCCTCACCTTGACCTTTAAATGAATCTTTGACTTACAGTATTTAACTTACAATGCAAAACCTGTAAATAATCCTACCAGAACTTATCTGTGCTTGAGAAGGCCTTGGCTGCTAATCTACATATGCATATTATATACAAACACAAACACACATAATTGTAGTATTTTCTTCTCACCATAGCCAAAGTTTACATAAATTATGTATACTACTACAGTGCCAGCCAGAAAACTTGTTTTTATTTTCTTTTTAACTGAGAAATAAAAATGGGCTCTTCTCATTGCTTACTCTAGATGGCTATTTCAAAGACTATAAAATGTTCTACTCTTGGCAAGAAGAATGCTATTTAACCTAAGTCCTAAACACTCAACCTTATCTAACAAATCCTTTGCTTTAGCACCAGGTGGCACATTTTTAAAATAAAGAGACTCTAGTACAAGGAAAAGCATGCTAATAACACAGAGGGTATCATAATAGGTAAGCTCCCTATATTTTAATGACATGTTTCTTTTAGAACAGTGGTTCTAAACCTGTGGGTCGCAACCCCATCGCATTAGATATTTACATTATGATTCATAACAGTAGCAAAATTATAGTTATGAAGTAGCAATGAAATAATTATATGGTTGAGGCACACCACAACATGAGGATCTGTATTAAAGGGTTACAGCATTAAGAAGGTTGAGAACCACTGTTTTAGAAAGATTGTGCTACTGTGTGGCTGCCTAAAAAAGAAATTTACACTACAGTTGCCATCTCTAATCGTTTAAAATAAGCAAGGAGCTGGGGAGAAGCTCAGTGGGTAATGCCTGTAACCCTTAATGAGGAGACAGACAGGTAATATCCCAGGAGGGTGCTCAATGACTGTCCAACCTAGCTAAAATAGCAGGCTTACCCAGGTCCATGAGAGACCAGGTCTCAAGCCAGTAAGGCAGAGATTGACAGAGCAGACTTGACTGGACTGAGCCCCAACCCTGCAACACACACCTACAAACACCATATATAAACAGCACACACAAACAATTAAAAACAAACTTAATTAAGGCCAGCAAGTTGGCTCAGTGCATGATGACTTGAGTTCAGTCTTCAAAATTCACATGGTGGAAGTGGAAGGAGAAAACTGACTCCAACTAGCATCCTCTAACCTACACACACACACACACACACACACACACACACACACACACACACCAATGTAGTGGTGCTGGGCACAAAATACAAGTCTAAAAGAGAAGTCTTGACTCTGAGATTTGAAAAATTAATAAAATGAAACACACAAAAAAAAAAGCCAAGGAGAGAAAAGTTATCTTTAGTCTGAAGATTTGTTTTCTAGTAAAAACTGAAAACTTACCTTTAGCGTAAGTTTTTTTAAATGCATCTTTTTTTTTTTAAGACAAGGTTTCAGGTAGACCTTGAACTCTTCATCCCCCTGCCTCGGCATGTGCTTGCTGCCTAGCCTAGTTTGACGTGATGTTAGGAATCAACTCAAGGGCTACCTGCACACTAGGCAAAGCACTCTAAGCAACTAAGCTACGCTCCCTGCCCCTTAAAATATATCCTTAAAAAGCCTACATGTGTGGCCCATGAGATGGCTCAGCAGAAAAAAAGGCACTTACTACCACACCTGAGGACCTGGGTTTGGTCCCTCGGACATATATGATAGAACAGACTCCTACAATTTGTCCTCTGGCCTCCACACATACACCATGGCATCCACTTGCTACCCATCCACACACACACACACATACACTCAACACACAAATTATCACATGTCAACTATCAAGAAAATAACAGCACATTGCCTACTACTTTTGAATTCCATCAAACTGCTTCTCAAGAAATAGGCCTCCTCTGCATTATTCTGGAACAATCTTATACCAGTACCAGGTAGGCAGGTAAGCATTCTGACAAGTGAAGGGGAATTTTAGAAAAAATCAGTCCGCACACATGTGATAGAACAGAAGCTTGTGAGGGAGTCGTCTAGTAAGTACATAGAGGAAGTGCCCAATAAATGTTTATTGAATGCTGAAATTTATCACTGAATGGGATGAAAAGAGGCTCATTTTCACTTCACTCAACCAAACAAATACAAAGGAGGGCTGAATGTACAAGACAGAATGGGTGTCACAAGCGAATCCCTTTGTCAATGCAAAGGTGTATACATTTAAAGTGGGTTTTGTTATTGACACAGTCACAGGAATAGAGAAAGAGCTATCAATCTGTCAATCCTGTCCGTGTCCGGGCTAGGTGAGGTTTCCCTGGCTCGAACTCACCCTATGTACCTGAGGATGACCCTGAATTGACTGATTCCTGCTTCCACCTCCCCAGTGCTGGGATTAAGGCACGAGCCACCATACCATGCTTGTTTTGTTTTGTGTGTGATTTTTGCGAAGTTTTTAGCAGAGGCTTCTAATATTTCGACTCTACATACATCTATTGTGAAAACACAAACACAGTCGTCCTCGAAGCCTATAAAACGGACACGAAACGTTACTTTCCTTGCCAAGTGTACCGTGGGCATCTTTGTAGATACCCACATCACCAGCCAGTTAAGTGACTTTTCTGTACAAGAACTTTCACGACACCTAAAACGCACTCCACCAGATGCCTGTTTCTGCAGGCAGATCCCTAGATTAGTAACCATCCAAAACAATTCACTGAGCCCTCAGTGTCACACATCTCCAAAGCGCTGAGACAGGGTACGCATGCTCAAGGTCGCAAAGCCAAGAGCGGCGGGGAGAACTCGGTAAGAGTGTGACAGCTCACGCCCTAGGCTCACCAACGGAGTGTCCCTAGCAAAAGTCCAAGGGCACTGACATGGGTGCACCCCAGGCCGCCTTAGCACCCCTCCGAGCGCGGCGTGGGAAGCCGAAGAGCCGCGTCTTCGCGCCGTAGGCTCCCAGAGGCCCGGAGGCTTGGGGCTGCCCGACACTCACCGCCGCTTAGCCCCCACGGGAAACACTGATGGAAATGTCACGGACATGGAGCCCGCAGCTCCGCCGAGTGAACGGCTCTGTCCCGCCTCTCTGCGCATGCGCCGCCCGGCGTGCATCGCCCCGCCTGGACTGGTCCACTATCCGAAGCCAAGGGGGGGGTCAAGTGCTGGTTCACCACCCACGGCGGGGACAGAAAACAACACGGACTGCAAGGAGGGATTCGAGGCAGAGGTTAATATTATTTTTCTGATTCTTTCCCTGAGGAGAGCGACGCCAGGGGCTCCACGCGTTTCCCACCGGGCGCGCCCTCAGCCGCGTCCCCCCCTATACTCCTGGAGCAGTGAGGAGGCCTTGCCCGGTGGGCGGGGCCCGAGCAGCCATTGGCGGCTTCGAAAGCGCCTCGGCGGGAACAGCTGCAGACGCGGCGGGACATGTGGACCGGTAAGGTAGGCTTCAGCGGCATGGATGGGACCCAGAGGGCGGTGGGAGGACTAAGAGAGCCAGCCCCAAGTCCTCTACGGGGGCCTTGTCACGGCGCAGTACCGCCGCGGGATCTTGGCCTAGGGGTGAGACTAGTGGAGTCTGAGCCCAGAGCTAGAGGGCGGCGATGCGCGTCCGTGGCGTCATATCCGCCCGGAGTGGGGCGGGACTTCACGTGCCGCTTGGAGTCTGCGCTGTGACAGCTCCGGTCTGCCCGCAGAAGGGTAGCTCTACTTTAAGCCGTGGGTTCCAGCTGGGCATTGGCTCTCTAGTTCCTTGCCTCGTGTCTTTTTTGTCTGTGCATTCTGTTGCTTTACTCGTTATGATCCCTGCGCGTCTAAAGGATTGTTACTTAACGAGAGACCTTTTCTGTCATGTGTTCATTCAACAACTGTGTGGTAAAGCGCTAGAAAATAGAAATTGAAGTAGTTACAGTAGTACTCAAGGGCTTGCTAACTTTGCTGGTATTTCACGCCGTTTCTATGATTTTTTTTCTAGGAATGGCATTCTGCAAGCTACTCAGAATTAAGAATCTTCAGAAGTGCTAAGGAATATTATATCTCATCCTTGGGCACCCCACCCTGAATGCCCTGACCTCTCCTGATTTAGCAGGGTCAAGCCTGGTTAGTATTGGGTTGGGAGAAATGCCTGTTTTGCATACACCTTTCCCGTTTAGCTTATAGATGCCCAAGAAAGCCCACCCAGATGTTCTTCCGGGATGAAGTGTTGGTTTGACAGTTGACAGACCGTTGAACCCAAATCCTTCCCATATGCATACTGCTTAGGGAGACTGTCCAGTCCTTCGTCCTCCAGGCATCTGTCAAGTGTGTGTGAGCTGGTTCTTGACTGAACTCCCTGGGATGATTTGATTGACAGTCACTAAAATTGTTTGGGTCAGAGCCTGGGCCCTGGCAACGCTATCAAGCTAGGCTCAGTCCCCACTAGGGGACTTTAATCCTCACTAGGCCAGTTAAAGGACAAGTCATAGTGAAAAGCAGAGAAAAGAGATTCATTCAGTGTGACCACGCTGGGAAAAACCAAGAGGTCCAGTGGCCCACCCTCACCAAGCTCGTCTTTGGTGTCCAGACTTGAGACAGAAGTTTAAACAGAAAGTAGAAGGTACAGGGCTAAGCAGTCCTGGTCACGGTGTGGTCCTGCCCGTCTCTGAGCCATCGTTGCCCTGGTTTCAGTCTACCGCAAGAGGGACTGACAAGTTGGCAGAAAAGCTCCCTGACTGACACCAGGTGTCAGCCTTTCCCTCTGCCATTATATTCCTGGGTGAGTTTCATTTTCTTGGTGTCTGTTGTCTCAAAAGGGAGGCACACAAGTGGCTGTCCTTGGAATGACTTTACTCCTGCCAGGACAGTAACAGGGCTATAGATTTTAGAGACATATTAATGAATAAGACAAACGTAGTCCCTCTCTTGAGCACAAAAAAATTACTGTAGCTGTGATCAAGTAATAAAGCTGAGGGCAGATGGTTCTGTAAAGACAATAAGCACTGGAAGATTTTTTTTTATAAAATAACTTTTTTTTTTTTTTTTTTTTTTTTTTTTTTTTTTTTTTTTTTTTGGTTTTTTGAGACAGGGTTTCTCTGTGTAGCTTTGTGCCTTTCCTGGAACTCACTTGGTAGTCCAGGCTGGCCTCGAACTCACAGAGATCCGCCTGGCTCTGCCTCCCGAGTGCTGGGATTAAAGGCGTGCGCCACCACCGCCCGGCTTAAAATAACTTTTTATTGGATGGTTGCAGTAAGTGTCCGAGGAGAAACTAAGCTGAGAACTGAATTACAACAAGAACCTTCTAGTCAAGGGTTGCTGCAAGTACAATGCCCCATCCCCAGAGGGATCCTTGAGTCTTACAGGAACTAAGACACAGTGTGGCTGAAGAGGTGGGCCTGGAGAAGTAGCTCAGTCGTGGTGTTGGCCTCCAGGAGGCCCTCAATTCCATCATCAACTACACATGCACAAGTGAAGAGGAAAAGGAGACGGGCAGCAGAAAGGAAGCAGGGGCCAGGCAGTACATGGTCTTGGAGACCACGCTGAAGGTTTAGGTTTGACTTTTAAGGAAGAATGGGCTCATAACTGAACAATACAGCAAATAATACTCCATTTTCACAACCTTAATTCAGCCATTTTTTTTTCATCCTAAACCATGCTATGGTTTTCAGTACCTTTTTCAAATACAGTCAACTGGGACTGGGGATATAGCTCAGTTGGTAGAATGCTTCCCTAGCATGCAGTAAGCCCTGGGTTCATCTCCCAAACCACATGAAACCTGTAATACCAGTCCCTGGGAGATGAAGGCAGGAAGATCAGAAATTCAAAGCTACCCTGTGATACATGAAACTCTGTCTAAAAAAATAAAAATAAGGAGCTAGAGAGTATTCCTTGGTGCTCTTTCAGAGGACTTGAGTGAATTCCCAGCAGCCACATGAAGGGCTCACAACTTCCTGTAACTCCAGCTCCAGGGGTCATGACACCTTGTCTAGATGGGGTACCAGCATACTCATGGCATAACTAGTTCACACAATCACATACTCATACGTAAATAAATAAAAATAAAGTACAGTCAGTTGCATGTCTTTTAGCCAGCAGTCAGCAGCAGTAAGTTGCATACAGTGTTCAAGAAGCTCTTATAATATTAGATGTCTCTCACAGTTGGGACTCGTGTGGAGAACAGTCCTCCATTTATTCTTAGTAATTGTAGGATTGTGGGGATACCTGCCTTTCATCTTAAACATGGATAGCAAAGTCTCTGTGTTCCCTTCTAGAAGACAAGCTGTTCAAGGAAATGAAAGTCTACAGAGACTTTGTGTAGTCCTCATTTGAAATCATGCTTGTTTTCTGGGCATAGTGGCACCAGTCTTTGATCCCAGACCTGGGAGGCAGGTGGATCTCTGAGTTCAAGGCCAGCCTGGTCTACATAGTGAGTTCCAGACTGCTAGAACTACATAGTGAGACCATGTCTCAGGGAAAAAAAGAAATTGTGCTTGCTTGTGTTTTACCTCCTGCATCAGTTTTCCAATTTAGGTAATACTAGGATTAGCTGTACCCTTTAAAGGCTCTGAAGAAAGTAATAAAAGGCTCAGGATCTCCCTTCCCTGTAGCACAGCTTTAATACTCCTGAGGGTCACCTGTTGTTGAGGGAGCTATCCCATGTTTGGGGCTCAAGACTAGGTGGGCTCTGAGACTCTACCTGCAGACACAAAACAGGACAGTAAGATACAGTTGTCAATGCACTGAAGCCTGAAAACAAGACACTGCAGTTGACCACACTTCTAGTTTCACATTTCATCTGCCACTGGCTGAAATAGTCCGTGACAAATTCTAGAAATACATTGGTTTGTTTATTTGTTGTTTTTATTGTTGATGTTTTGGTTTTTCGAGACAAGGTTTCTCTGTGTAGCCTTTTCTGCACTGTACTACAGAGCACTTGCTTTGTAGACCAGGTTGGCCCTGAACTCACAGAGATCCCCTGCCTCTCCCTCTTGAATGCTGGGATTAAAAGCATGCACTGCCACCGCCCAGCTCAGAAATAAGTTTCTAAGTAACTTTCATTATATTCGCTGTATCACAGGATGGCAAAGGACCGTGTGTGAGGGTCGAGCTATATAGACGGAAGAGTGGTCAGATGGCTGGAGGGAGCCAGAAAGCTAGTGGGGAAAGCTCTACACACACTTTCATTTTTGGAGACAGTGCAGCACTCGATAGCCCCAGGCAGCCTCCTGTCTTTGTCCTTCTGAATACTAAGTTTATAGGCCTGTTTCCCTATATATTAACACACCCCGCCCACCCTTTGAGATGTGTGTGTGATGTCAGTGCGTGTGTGTGCAAGTGAGTGTTAGTTATATTTGTGCTTGTGGGAGTATATGGGTGTGTGAGTGTGTGTGTTCTAGAGGTAGACATTCAGTATCTTCCTTAGTCCACCTTATTTTTTGAGACAGTCTCTCACTGAATGTTCAGGTCACCAATTTTGCTAGACCTCCTGGCCTTCAGGCTTTCTCTCTACGCCCCCCTGCACCAGCATTTTTACAGGGGCACAAGGCATCAAACTCGGGTCTCATGCTTGTGTAGCAAGCCCTTTACTGACTACATCATCTCCGCAGCTGTCTTTAAAAAAAACAACAATCCTTGAGGAAACTAACCTGCCTGCTGTGAGAGTGCATCAGTCCCTTCTGAAGGTTGTAGCCCAGTGACCTACCTCATCACCTTCATTAGGCTTCTTAAAGGTCCACCACCTCTCAGTACCATTAAGTTGGTATTTAGCACAAAAACTTACTAGCACAAAAATGTATGGCGTACAAACCATATCCAAATCATGACAGCACTTTTCCTTCTTTCTTTCTTTCTTTTTTCTTCTTCATTTTTTTAAATTCTAAAGCATCCTGGCTATAATAACTCACACTTCTAATTACAACTTTTAGGAGGCTGAGACAGGAGGATTGCCACCATTTTGAGGCCAGGCTTGGCTACATAGTAGATTCCAGGCTAGCCTGGACTACAGAGTAAGTAAAACTCCTCCAGAAAAATAAAAGGAAAAAAAAAAAATCTAGAGTTTGGGATGTAGGTACAGCTCAGTTGATAGGGTCTGGCCTGGCCTGCAGGAAGCCCTAGGTTTAACCCATGCTGACTAGAACCCAGCACAGTGACTCACTCCATAATCCCATACTTGGGAAGTAGAGGCAGGAGGATCAGAAGTTGAAGGTCAGGCAGGAGAGATGCCTTAGCAGTTAAGAGCACTTGCTGTTTTTCTGGAAGACCCAAGTTCAATTCTCAGCACCCACATCAGGTGGCTCACAACCAACTGTAACTTGAGTTCCAGGGAATCTGACACCTCTATCCTCCTCAGACACCCACTTTCATGTACAAAGACACATACCGTCACACAAAGAGGCATGGTTAAAAGTAAAAAACAAAATACATACCTATTTTTTTAATGGTTCAAGGTCATCCTCGGCCACATACTGAGTTTTCACCCAGCCTAGGCTACATGAAGCAATATGTCAGTGCAGCTTAAAGAGTAATTAAAGTCTGCATTCTCTAACAGTGCGGACTGTTGAGAAAAGGTCAACACTGGGTGTCTGACCTAACAAGCCCTGGGTTAAATAAGATACTGAACAATTCACACTGGAGTTTCTGTACTTGATTAATACATTACTATGTTCTTTTTGTTTTAACCAAGGGCCAGAGAGATGGATGAGAATGTTGCTGAGTTCCTCCGGAGGAGCATCTTGAAAATCCCCTTCTGTGAGATGAAGACCATCCTAAAAGCCTGGGACTTTTTGTCTGAAGACCAACTGCAGACCATAAACTTTCGGCAGAAAAAGGAATTCCTAGCCCAGGAAGTGATTCTGATGTGTGAGGTAACAGTGTTGAAAATTATCAGCCAAATGAATTAATGCAATAGAATAAAGTTAGACCAATATGTACATATGATTAATGGATTTTTTTTTTTTTTTTAAGCAAAGCTAAAAAAAAACAATTCTGGGAAGGAAGAACAATCTTTCCAACAGATGGGCTAAAATAGTTGGATGCTTGTGTGCAAAAACACCTTTGCTGGTTGAGATGGTGCATCTGTTCAGTCCCAGAACTATGGAAGCCAAGGCAGAGATATCTAGAGTTCAGGTGAAGCCTGGGCTACATAGTGAATTCAAGGTCAGCTGTATAGGAGGATTGTCAGGAAGAAAAAAGACAAGTTCAGTCCATCCCCTCCACAGTAAAGAAAGAAAAAGAGACTCAAAATAGATCCAAGACCCAACTGTAATACTTAAAACCATAAAATATGTAGGAAAAAGAAAAATTTTGTCATTGGACTAGGCAAAAGTTTCTTAGACCACCAAAAAGGTGGTCCATAAAAGAAAAAACAAGGGGCTGGAGAGATGGCTCAGCCGTTAAAGGCTAGGCTCACAACCAAAAATATAAGAGTTCGGTTCCCAGCACCCACGGTTGTCTCTCCAGCCACCTAGAAAAATTAAAAAAAAAAAAAAAATTGATAAACTAGTAGAATTAATCCATTTTTCTTTGAAAAATAGTATTAAGAAAAGCCATAACCTGATGGAAACTATTTCTAAGCTCTGACCTGTAAAGGACCTGTGGCTAAAATATGTCAGGAAGTCTCAAGAGTCAGTAATAAAGAAAAGATCTTAGATGGCTCAGTGGATAAGAACACCAGCTGCTTTTCCAGAATACCTGATTCCATTCCCGGCACCAACGCAGCAGCTCACAACCATCTGTAACTCCAGTTCCAGATCTTACACCCTCTTCTAGCTTCCAGGGTACCAGGCACACACATGGTGCACAGACATAAATGCAGGAAAAACACCCATACACATTAAGAATATTTTTTAACACATAGAAGATTTGGTTGACGCTTCCTGTCAGAAAACGTGCAGATGGTAAATAAGTATACGAAGAAGGGTCCGGAACCCTAGTCATCAGACAAGTGCAAATAGAGCCACAAAATATGGTCACTGGAATGGCTAGAATTGGCAAGGCTGATCATACCTATTTGAAATAGTTGGGATTTTTTTCCTTTTTCTGATGCTGGATATTGGACCCAGGGACTGGCGTGTGCTAACAAAGGCTGTCTGCTGAGCTGTTTGTACCCCAAGCCCAGCCTTTATTTTGTGTTTTAGTGCTTGGGATTGAAGCCAGGGTCTCATACATGCTGAGTAAGTGCTGTATCCCAAGCTACATTTCCAGCCTTGACAGTTTGTCTAAAAGTCTAAATATTTGCCACCATAGATTGAGCCATTCCACTGCCAGGCATTTGCTCAAGAGAAATAAAAACACATGCATGTCCGCAAAAAAGACACATATATTAACACAGTGTTTATCATAGCTAAAACCCAGAAACAACCCAAGTCCATCCATGGGTAAGCAACAAATTGTGTCATATTCACATAACAGAAAACTACTAGCAATAAAAAAGAATTGAACTATAGATGGAAAATATGGCTGAGTGTCAAAATAATTATGCTGAGTAAAGGAAGCCAGATCAAAAAAGAACCCAACCTTATGTTAACATTCATATAAAACTAGAAAATACAAATGTTGTGACAGAAGGAGGGTTCGTAGTTGCCTCAGCACCAGAGACTGGGAGGAAGAGAAGTCGGCACAGAAAAGGATGTGAGAGTGAGAAGCACAAGGAAATTGGACGTGGAGATTGTTGGGCGTGTTCACCACGTTGCCACAACAGTGGTTTCATAAGTATATTTGTGGCCACATCTGAAAATTTTAAGTACATTGTCTTACTTGTCACTGTGATAAAATACCCTAACAAAAACAACTTCAGCAAGAAAGGGTTTGTTTTGGCTCACATTCCTGGGGGTTCAGTCCATCAGCTCACTGGCTGGTCAGGCTGCTTGGACACCCAGTGAACAGGAAGTATGACCAGGCTCCAGAGCCTCATGGCACCACTCCCAGTGACCCACTTCCTCCACTGAGGCTCCACCCTCCCCCAAAGAGCACCCCCTCCTGGAGACCCAAGTGCTCACCATGTGCACTTGTGGGGACATGTCTCGTGCCAACCACAGCATGGATGCAGTTTACTGTATGTTCAAGAGTGGTGTTTTGTTAGGAGACAGTCTCACTCTGTAGTCCTGACTGGCCTCAAACTCAAGCAAAGGCCTTCTGCCTTTGCTTCCCAAGTAGTAGGATTACAGCTGTGAGCTACCATACCTGACTTTTTAATGTTTTAAAAATCTAAAAGTTAAGTCATAAATGTGGAGTGAATTTCAGGAGAATGTGGACTGAGGCAAGAATTGGAAGCGTGACTGTTGGTTAATAGGAGAATGTAGACTGGAGATAGATTATCAAGACATTACTTCAGGCATGCTAATAGAATGTTCTGACCAGCCCTAAAATAGGCTTGAGAGGACCATTAGCAGACCTCGTGCCTCCTTTCCTAATCAGTTTACCCTTTCTTTCAGGGGAAGAATGCAAGTGTTGATGACATGGCCCTTTTAGACATTGTGTGTAAGTTTGGGGGATTTGTCTTTACACGTTGGAGTTTTTTTGGAGTTTTGTTTCATTGGAAGGGATTTCTTATGTTAATGCAGATTCTAGGGTCTAGAGAAGTGACAGGGCAGAAACCTGGAAGCAAGAACTGAAGCAGAGACCATGGAAGAATGCTACTTACTGGCTTACTCCATGGCTTACTCAGTTTGCTTTCTTATAGTACCAGAGGACACCTGCCTAGAGGTGGCACCACCCACAGTAGGCTGGGCCATCCCATTCAACCATCAGTCCAAAACACTGCACCACAGCCATGTTGACAGGCAGTCCAGTGCAGACAGAAGAGGTCTCCTTTCAGATGTGCCTGGCTTCTGTCAAGTTGGCAGAGAACTAAACAACACATACGTTAACTGCCTGTATGACTGGAAGTGTACCAAAAAATCATCTCTCTCAACTTTTTTCCAGCTGGGCTATGGCTGAATCTGCCTCTGATTTAGTTTGCCTCATTTTCTGTCGTTAGCTTCTAACTGAGCGGTAAGGTGGATCCAGGGCTGAAGAGATGGATCAGCAGCTAGAGTACTTGTTACTGGGTTCTATTCCGAGCATCTATGTAGCGGCTCACAACTGTCTCTAACACAGTTACAGAGGCTCTAAAATCCTCTTCTTGCCTCTATAGGTACCAGGCATACATGTCGTGCACTTACATGCCTGTAGACAAACACTCATACACATAAACTAAAAATAATTCCTTTAAAAAAAAAAAAGTGGATCCATAACGCACTGCTGAGCAGAGCCAGTGATTGATGATCTTTTGAATACTGAGGTCTAGCTGAGGGGAGGTTAACCAGCCCACCTCACAGTACCTATCACAGTGGTAATGAGTATGTGAAGGAGAATTAAGAGCTTATGTAGCCGGGCGGTGGTGGCGCACGCCTTTAATCCCAGCACTCGGGAGGCAGAGCCAGGCGGATCTCTGTGAGTTCGAGGCCAGCCTGGGCTACCAAGTGAATCCCAGGAAAGGCGCAAAGCTGCACAGAGAAACCCTGTCTCGAAAAACCAAAAAAAAAAAAAAAAAGAGCTTATGAGAGCACAGAGCACATGATCTTTTTCAGTGATCGTGGAAGGAAACTTCCTTGAGGAGATGATGTTTAAGTTGAGAGCCGAAGGATGAGCTAGCACTAGCCAGGCAGAGGAGAGAGGGAAGTTGAGGAGGAAACTGATGGGCATGGGTTGGGAGAAGAGTACCTGTAAACAGAAATTTCTTGTCCCAAATGCCTGTTCCCAAATGCCCACTCTGAGGCTTACATTAATTGTAAATGCTCGGCCAATACTCAAGTTTATTACTAACTAGCTCTTACATTTTAAGTTAACCCATATTCCTTATTTACTCTCTGCCACATAGCAGTACCTTTATTAGCATGGCACGTTCATCTCCTGCTTCCTCTGCATCTGCTGGCAATTACTGACTCCGCCCTTCTCCTTCCTATTATTCGTAGTTTGGTTGTCCCGCCTATACTTCCTGCTTGACTACTAGCCAATCAGCATTTTATTAAACCAATTCGAGTGATAAAGCTTTACAGTGTACAAGAGGATTATTCCACAGCAAGTGCCAGAGATGCAAGAGAAGGGACAAACTAGGCTCCAGCGGAAGGGAACATGGAGATAATACAGAGACTTGGAAGCCACTAGAAGGGTTTCAGCCTCTATCCTAAGAATTATGTCAGCCCTTGATAGGTTATGAGCCAAAAGAATTAGGTGCTTGTTTTTGAGATCATGCTGGTTACAGCACAAGACAGACCAGAGCAGAAGAGAATTCAGACACCTGAAATGGGATCATCTGGAGAGATATAAGCAAGAGAGGGTGGTAGCCCACGTGAGGTGGTAGTCGGGATGGAGAGGAGGGTAGAGGGCCAAGGGATGGAAGGAGCTTACACCTAGCCCGTGGACAAAGACAAGTGGATTGAGCTTACAGGACTCCCATGTCTGCACACGAGCTAGGAGCCCTCCCAGCTATGAAGTGGAAGCTGCAGGTGCAAGTATATCACATCTTTCACAGGTGAGGATAGGCTAGCCTGTGCCTGTTGCAGGTGAAGCTGTCCATGTGTATCTAAGTCCTTGATGTTTACCTTTTAGGTGACAAAAGTTCTAACTTTCTGTCGCGCCAGTCTTATTCAGAGACAAGTCTTCTCAACTCTAAACACAGAACCAGATAAAAAAGTGCCAGAAGAAAACCACTTTGGGAGATGGCATCACACTTGCCTTTTGACACCTCCTGTAGATACAGCCAATCAATCGGTGATCTGTTGCCAGGCCCATTGGCATGAAGAGAAATAGGGGCCAATAACGGGGACATGCAGGCCCAGGAAAGGAAAAGATGCTAAACATAGGGCGAGACAAGGAGAACATTGATGCCGAAGTTGATGGTACCCTAAGTGCTGGGTCCATATCCCCTTCAGAGATTAGAAAACCTGATCTGAGGTGAAGACACAGAAGGAGGTCAGTAGATAGATGGAGGTCGGCACAGGGACATCCTTTAAATCCAGGGTGAAGGGAAAGAGTGGAGCTTGCTGACCCGTAGATCCCATTCCTCCTGCGGTACTCCGCATCTCCTGAAGGGCATCTTCTGTGTCACACACCTGCCCTTGCCTTCATTCCACATGCATGCATTGAGTGCTTTATGCAAGTAGGGCTAGCCTGGGGCTACAGCCCTGAACAAGTCCCTTGTCTTCACAAGTGCCATGAGAGGAGCAGGGCCAGTGTGGGTGTAATCAGGGTAGGACATTGAGGAGTTGGTGCTGAGGAAGAGCAGGCTGATGGGGAAACCGGAGGAGAGGCCTCAGGCCTCCAGGCCCTGCCATAACTGTGGTCAGTCATTCCATCTTGTGGGTGCATGCATAACAGACGTATGTAAAAATGACAAATGAGGACTGAAGAGATGGCTCAATGACAAATGAGGACTGAAGAGATGGCTCAGTTATAAAAAAACACTTGTTATTCTTCCAGAAGACCCGGGTTTGATTCCCAGCACCCATATGATCCCTTCCAACCATCTGTAACTCCAATCCAAGGGCTCCTACGCCCTCTTCTAGCCTCTATGGGCACCAGGCACTCATGTGCATAGACATAAACTCAGGCAAAACCTCCACATACAGAAAATACTTCTGCCCATTTTAAAAATGTAATTAAAATAACAAAAAACCTGGCAAAAAGTAATGATAAACACCAAAACTGAACTGTATTATCTGTGTTGAAGTCAGTAATTGGAATTTGTTTGTCTGCAATAAATTTACTCCGTTTAAATATTATGTTTCAGGTTTTTTAAGTTTGCACTTTAATTTCAAAGCTTTGTCACCTTGTTCATGGGTTACTTTTTTTTTATAACATTAAAACTATGTATTTGTGGGAGGATGGGAAGGAGACCCACACTATTTCTTTATAATATTAAAACTCTGTATTTGTGGGAGGATGGGAAGGAGACTCATGAAAACATGCCTTGTTCAAAACTGTCAGCGTTGTCTAACACATCTTTGCTGGTTTCAAAAATGAGTGTATGTGTATGAGTGTATTAGGACACTTCAAAGTCCTAATATACACACTAAGCTGTAAGCCCTTTTCTCTCAGATACTCAAGCTCATCGGCACCAGAAGCTTTGGAGTGTCTTTCAGATGAGTAAAGAACCAGGTAATGTTTTCCACTTTAAATTGAACATCTGAATTTGGCAATTTAAAAATGAGGAGCAAATGTGGTCTCTTGGTGGGAGGGTTTTGTTTTGTTGTTTCTGAGTCATTATATCCCTATGTTGCATAGGTTATCCTTGAACTCACTATGTAGCCTAGCCTGGCCTTGAATTCACTATGTAGACAAAGCTGGTTGTTTTGAACTTGTGGTTTTCCTGCCTTTGCCTCCAGAGTAGTGGTTCTCAACCTGTGAATTGCAACCTCTTTGTGGGGTCAAATGACTCTTTCCCAGGGGTCACCTAAGACCATTGGAAAACACAGATATTTACATTATGATTTGTAACAGTAGCAAAAATTACAGTTAGGATGTAGCAATGAAAATAATTTTGTGGTTGGAGGTCACCCAGCAAGAGGAACTGAATTAAAGGGTCGCAGCATCAGGAGGGCTGAGAACCACTGCTCCAGAGTGATGAGGTGACAGGGATATGCTTCCACACCCAGTCTAGCAGTCTGCTCTCTCAGGCTTCTTTTGAAAGATAGGACTCTTGCTCATTTATATCCCCTGGCACTCAGGGGTGTGTATGGGGTGGCCATTACTGCTCCGGGATGCACAGGCCAAAGACATTGTAGCTCCCTTAACCTCTTTTTATATTTCTGTACACTTTGACAGGTGAAGATGTTGACTTTTTTGACATGAAACAGTTCCAAAGTTCCTTTAAGAAAATTCTTCAGAGAGCATTAAAAAATGTAAGAAAATAGTCCTCATGGATTTCTACAAAATTCAATTTAGTAATATCTGGGGGGTGGGGAGAGATAATATGCCATTACCTTAACAAACTAAACATTATAAAAATTTCCATCTCTCACCTGCCCATCTCACCCAGTGCTTTTTAGGGGCAGTACTGTCCACTGGAACTCTGCCATGGCATCTGCTGCTGCTGACAGTGGCCAGTACATAGCTGGTTGCCACGAGAGGACTCGATAGGTGGCTGATGTGACTGAGCAAGTGAATCTTTAAACTGACTTAATGAGTTCCCATTAGATGGTCCACGTGTGGCTAGTGGCCTGCCAGTGGTCAACAGTCACTTTTGCTTTTGCAGTGGGAAGTGAAGGCACCCAGAGTAAGACCCTCTGCTCTTCCAGCCCCTGGGGGCCACTGAGCCGCAGAGGAGAGCAAGCTCTCTACTGCTCACCAGGGGATGAGACACCATTCTGCAAACCCACAGCCAGACAGGGAGCTTCCTCCTCCTTGCACCAGGGGATCAGGAAAAGCAGCTGAGTGCAGAGTGGCAGAGTTTGCTCTGAGCCAGCAGACAGCATAACCACCTGCTTTTCCTGGAGTAAGATCCCACAGGGAGGAAACAGCAAGCCAGCTGGCCCTCTCTTCAGGTTCTCCTTTCCTGGTCAGGGCCCCAAGGGAAGGTGAACTGGGGCTAGCTGATGACCTAGCAGCGACTATTAAATTCCAGAGCAAGTGCAGTCATAGCTGCAAGTTTAGAAAGACTGATGACTGGCTGTGACATGATACCACACAACCTCATGTGCTGCCACATTTCTGAGTGGCTCTAGCTGCTGAGACTTGTAGAAGAATATCAGGATCAGTGCACTCTAGCTCATTGCCACATAGAAATCCTGCTGTAACTATAGAGGGGCAAACTAAGTGTGCTAGCCAGCACTACTAAAAAGGCTTCATAGGAAACACCCCTTGCCTTTGTTTGTTTTGTTTGTGAGATAGGATCTCACTGTGTAGCCCTAGCTGGCTAGAGCTCCCGAAGATCTGCCTGCCTCTGCCTCCCAAGGCTGGGAATAAGGTGTGCCGAGCCAGATAGATCATTGTTTAAATTTTGTTTTATTTCTTGATGTGTGTTAGTGTTTGTCTGAGTGTATCTGTGCACTGAGTGCATGTCTGGTGTCTGCAGAAGGCGGAAGAGGGCATCAGATTCCCCTAGAACTGGAATTACAGATGGTTGTAAACCACCCTGTTGATACTGGGACCAAGTCATGATCCTCTGCAAGTGCTTAACCTGTGAGCCATCTCTCTGGCCCGATTATAAGGATTTTTAGGGATTTTTCTTTTCTCAAAAAATACTTTGCAAGTTGTAAATATATCTTTATAAAATAATCATAAAATGTTTTCCCAAAGAGTCTCAAAACACTGTCTAAAAAGTAGAAATAGGAGAAAAAAAAAAAAGTCAGGCAGTAGTGGCTCACGACTTTAATCCTGGCACTCAGGAGGTAAAGCCAGACAGATCTCTGTGAGTTCGAGGCCAGCCTGGTCTACAGAGCGAGATCCAGGACAGGCTCCAAAGCTACACAGAGAAACCCTGTCTCGAAAACTCAAAAAAAAAGTAAAAAGCTGGTGTGATGTCACTGGTAGTTACTTGCTGCCCAGCCTGATGACCTGAGCTGGATCCCTGGAACACGTGGTAGAAGGAGAGAGCTGACTCCTGCAAGTTGTCCTCTGACCTCCACATGTATGCTGTGGCAAGTGTGTGCCCTCACACTTACTTATAAATAAATAGAATTTTTAAGTAGACAAAAAGGCTGGGGTGTCCACACACATGACAAATTACAGTAACATTGCTTGTGTCTCAGGTGCCTGTAGTTGGTGCCACAATGAGATATAACCAGGAAGCTTAAATCTTTTCTTTATAAGGTTACGGTCAGCTTCAGAGTCGACGGGAAGAATGCAGTGTGGATTCGGGTTGCCTGGGGAACACAGTATTCACGGCCAAACCAGTACAAACCCACTTTTGTGGTGTATTATCCCCAGACTCCATATGCCTTCATTTCCACCAGCCATCTGAAGAGCACTGTACCCCTTCTCCATCAGGTAGGGAACAGATTACAGCAGCTGGAGGACTCGGTACCCTTGTCTCAAAGGTCCACATAGTATTAAGTCCAAGAAGACTTAGTGTAGAGTAACTTAGTTCCTGTTCTTTTAAGGTAAGGATCAGAGAGCTTTCTTACCTACAGTGGAAATGTGACAGAAGGTATTAGCTTTTTTTTTTTTAATTTAAAAGTAATGCATGCTTAATATAAAAACAAATGCAACCAGTTCAGAAGTCTCTAAAGGTCAAAGGTGAGTCATCAAATTCCACCCCTTCTTCCTACTCCATTCACCCCAGATAGCTATTGTCACCTTGCTGTCTCCTTCCAAAGCTGTTTTGTTAGTGTCACCAGTAGTGCTTTTTGTATTTTTCTTTAAGATTTATTTATTTATTATGTATACACTCCATTGTCAGCAGCAGGCCTCGGGGTCCCAAAAGTGAGTAACAGGCGATAGGATTAAATTTCTTCAGTTTCTTTTCACTTGTGAGGGGTGGGGGGAGTTAGCTTTGTTTGGAGACGGGGCTCACCCCTGCCTCAGCCTCCCCAGGGCTGGGGTCCCAAGTATGCAGTGAGCCTCTACACAGTGTTCTTAACAAGATGTGCAGACCTGGGTGCATCCTAACAGTCCTGCTCCTTTCCCTCCAAGGCCCTGAAGGTTGCTAGCAAACACCATCAGATCGTGCAGATGGATCTGAGAAGCCGGCACCTGGACTCGCTCAAGGCTATTGTTTTTAGAGAGTATGATCAGGTGAGTCTTTAAAGTTGGGTTTCCCTTTACTGCTCTGCACACTGAACAGGTGGAGGGCCACTCTCAGCACGTCCCTGGCAGGGAGTCGTTGAACCTTTCAATCATTCACTTTGTTCATGTGTGCTTGTTTTATTCTTTCACAGTGTCATACATATATAATGTACTTTGATCCTACTGTCTCCATCATCCTCTTAACCCCTTCCTCCCAACAAGTCCCTTCCTACTGTCATGGGCTGGTGGAGGTTCTTTTGAGCCCCCTGCATTTAATTAGGGCTGCTTGCCTGAGTCTGGATGTGGAGTTACTTCCTAGAGCAAGAGCGCTCCACATTGGCTGCACCACTGAGCAATTCAGCTTCTTTCCCCAACAACCATCAGCTGCCTAGAACTCCTCAGAAAAGGGTGGGGCCTCATGAGCCCTCCCCTATCCAGGATAAAATGATGAAATGTTTGGATGACAAGGACAGGTCTGCCCCTTGGTCTTAAGGTTTCTTCTGTACAGGGCAAATGTTTGCACATGTTCAGATATTTTAGGTGGATGGGATTCCTTAAGGAGGGTATACTGTGTGTTATGTTCTAGGTAGGGAGAAATGATGGCTGTCTGCAGGTCACTCTTTAAGGGGAAGGGTAGAAACTTGAAGATGTTTTTGCCTCAGGGTCCTGCCACCCACTGTAGATAGGAACATCTAAATGTGAGCCAAAATAAATGCTTCTTCCTTTTAAGAAAGAAAATAATTTTTACTTTCCTTCTTGAGGGTTTTAAGATGGGATCTCATGTACCCCAGGCTGGCCTTAAACTCATTACTTAGCTGAGGCCTCTACCTCCCAAGTGCTGAGATTATAGGCTTGAGCTACCATGCTGGCCTCTTAAGAAGGTAGATGGCAAGTCGGGCCATGGTGGTGCACGCCTTTAATCCCAGCACTTGGGAGGCAGAGCCAGGCAGATCACTGTGAGATTTGAGGCCAGCCTGGTCTACAGAGCGAGATCCAGGACAGACACCAAAACTACACAGAGAAACCCTGTCTCAAAAAACAAACCAAAAAAAAATGGGGAGAGAGAGAGATCTGCCTGCCTCTGTCTCCCAAGTGCTGGAATTAAAGGTGTGTACTCCCACTGCCTGGAAAATCTTATTTTTTTTTTTAAAGAGGTCTTGTATATTCTTACTAAGCAGGCAGAAGCGAGGGTTCTGCCATAGGCTAGCTAAACGGAGCATATTTCTTAGGACAGATGCCTCTGCCTCCCAAGTGCTGGGATTAAAGGCATGCGCCACCACCACCTGGCAAGGCAGATCTCTTGAGTTTGAGGCTAACCTGATCTACAAAGCAAGTTTCAGAACAGCCAGGGCTACACAAAGAAATTTTGTCTCAAAAAACGAAAATAGTGATTTAATACATTTTACATCTTAGAACCAATTGCTATCTATATATCCCAACATGTTCACTTTTTCTTTCTCCTTTTAGACCTTTGAAAGTCACAACTCTACAATGCCTCTACAAGAAGAAAGCCTTGGACTAGACCTGAATTGTATGTGTGCTTTGAGACAGCTGGGGTTGGGAAGGCATCTTTGCCTTTCAGGTGGCTGCTACACAGGAAAGCACTTGTGCTAGGATCTCATTGCAGAGCTGGTTCATACTTCAGAAAAATCAAGCTAAGTATTTGGGGCAGAAAGCCAAGCTACCACAGGTGTTCTTCAGAGTTCACCAGGATGGCTGACCGTCATAGAGGGTCTTCCATGCCCAGCAGCATACCACAGTAGTCGCATGTGATTGTCACTTCGGTTCTGACAGCCGTCCTGTGACGAAGCACTGTCCCCTGGGAAACTGGGTTTCAAGAAGGCTTGGTAACTCCAAACAGGGTCACAGAGATAGGTCTATCCAAAGTGGAGCCCGTGCTCTTAGTGAGCGGGGACGCTGGTTCTAGAACAATATGATGGTTGTGTTGCTACTCGCTCACAGAGAACCCGAGTCTCCCTAGGAAAGCTAAACTCAAATTAACAGTGGGAGAAAACAACCTGTGTTAGGAACAGAGCACAGACCCCAGAGGCCTAAGACCTGCTGTGGGTCCCCTGTGAAGTAAAGAAACTTGATACAGAATTACTCATGATAACTACACAGAAAGTGTATTAGAACCTAGACAGTGTGATGGCACTGTAGTTATTTCTCACTCCCTTTTGTCAGCTTCATAGCTGTTCCATGTAATGACTGTTTCCATGAGAAGAAGGGACAGGAAACAGATCTGAGCTACACAAACCATCTCAAGTTTAGGATGGGAAGAGCACTGTATGAGATGAAGTGATTCCTAATAGTCTCAATCCAAACTCTCATCCACAGTGGATTCAAACATCATTCATGAAAACACAGAAGAAAGAGAGAGAATCCAAAGAGTCACTCAGGAGACCTTTGGAACCTATCCCCAGCCACAGCTGGAATTTGCACAGTATAAGGTAGGATGGAGCAGTGAACAGTGCCTGAAGTTAGTGCCATTTTTTTTTTAAGGTACAGAAACCCTTAACTGTAAAACATGTCCAAAAACTATTCCTTTTCAATTTATCACTTCAACAAATTTGTAAATTACATAGATCTTTTTACTGTATTTGTAAGTTCTCTTGTTAGCAAAGGAGACATTCTGAAATTTTGAATTTGCTTTTGCATTTTGTCTTTGTAGTAATTCAGTTGTATATTGCTAGCTGCGGGAAGCGGGGAGAGCTATACCCTACTAGCCTATGCACACCTAGAGTAGTATTTGGCATATAGTAAATGCTCATAAATACTTGAATGAATGAGCTGGGTATGGTGGCACACACCTGTAATTCTAGCACTCAGGAGGCTGAGGCAGGAAGATCTCAAGTTCAGACAATCCTGGACTACTTAGCAAGTTGGTGGCAAACCTGCCTGCCTGACCCAGAAGCACAGAAACAAGAAGAAAGAAAGCACATGTATACTACCTAGCCCCGCTGGCATCAGATGGAGAGCAATCAGTAGTGCAAATATACTGTAAATTAAACTTGTTCTAAAGGGGTACTGCCCACCACATACCCGAATAGGAATACAGGAATACAAGCGCATGGCCACCATTAGAAAAACTCTAATATATGTCATAGTCATCCTAACGTAAGCCCATGCTCCTCCTCTCAATACCTTCCTTCCCTGACCCCCAATAAAACTGTTTCGGATGACTCTTAGAGCTACAGGGCACACAAAAGATCTGCTGTCCGTTGAGCTGCTCACTTAGGCCCAAAGTCTATTTGGTTTGATTTGTTTTTAAAGGAAGATGTTGGCGTTTTTCATGTTTTGAGAGGTTTTATGTTTGTTAATGTGTATGCACACACAGCTTTGCTCACTTACGCTCTCAGTCAGGGAAGCCCAAGGTCAGTTCTTTGAGACAGGGTCTGTCATTGAACCTAGCGCTCCTTTTCGGCTGGACTGGCTGCAGGGAGCCCCAACTTCTTCCTGTCTCTGCCTTCCTCCCAAGTGCTGGGGTTGCACATACATGCCACCACACCTAGCTTTTACCTGGTGCTGGGGACCCAAAGTCCTAGTGCTCAAGCAGCAAGCACTTTACCCACTGAGACATCTTTCCAGCCTGCCTGTTTGTTTTTCAGACAAGGTCTTGTAGCCTAGGACAGCCTCAGATTCACTATGTAGCCAAGGCTGACTCTGAACTTCTGACCCTCCTGCTTCCTCCCTGTCACAGGTGTGGCTACTACACTTGGCTGTGTTGTATTAACTGAGCTTTAAAGACCTAATTCAGGACAGTAGCTCTCAGGGTGTGGTCTCTGAACTGGTGGAACTAGTCTTGTGGGAATTAGGAAGGAGCATAGATCTTAGCTCCACCCTGTTCCCCCTGGGGTGGGCATGGGCACAGTGTCCAGCCATCTGTTTCTGCATGCTGTCTGGCTGCTCTGGGCTGTACACTAACAACTGGAAAGCCACTGGTTCAGGAGATAGTTTTCTTGTTCAAACATCTTAGAATGGTTGTGTTCTGATAGTCTAGGTGTGCACTAACTCACTCACACCTGATTTTCTCCAACCTCAGGAAATGGCCAGATTATACTGAATGCCATTTGTCCACTTTAACCAGCCAGTGGCTACATTTTGCCATGTCCTCTTTCTCTTTATTCCACGTATAATTTGAATTCATTGCAGACATTAAGTATCTCATAGATATTTCAGCATAGTGCCTCAAAGTTTTAAGAATCACTCACATTTTTGTTTTTGTTTTTAAACATGAGCATATAAGAGGCACAGGCAGAAGGATCACTCCAAGTTCAAAGCAGCTGGTCTACCCAGGGTTCCAGGCCAGTCAGGCCACAGTTGAGGCACTGTTTCCAAAAAGAAAAAGAAAACCTAAGGTCGCATACTATGTACTTAGGTATGTGTTGATGTTGAAGAATTATTAGTGTTCTAGGCTGGGCCAATAACTCGGAAGTAGAGTGCTGCCCTAGTCACTATTCTGTTACTGTGAAGAGACATCATGACCATAGAAACTTACGGAGGAAAACATGTCATTGGAGGCTTGCTTATAGTTTTCAGAAGTTTAATCCATTATCTTCATGGCGACATGCAGGGAGGTGCTGAAGCAGTAGCTGAGAGCTACAACCTGATCTGTTAGTAAAGAGAAAGACTCCTGGTTTGAAATGGACTTTTGAAACCCCAAAGCCTATCCTGGTGACATGCTTCTTTCACAAGGCATACCTCTTAATCCTTCTAATCCTTTCAAATAGTTACCACTCCCTAGTGACTAAGCATTCAAATATATGAACCTATGGAGGCCATTCTTATTCAAAACGTCACAAGTGTTTTTACATACCTTAGGCCCAGCACCTGAAAAATTAAAAATAAGCGTTCCAAAACATTCGCCATAATCTGTACACTTGGGAGACTGAGGTTGAAGAGCAAGTTGAAGACCTGGTCTACATAGAAAGACCCTGTCTCGAAAAAAACTAAATAAAATGTATGACAATGGCATAGAGATTCCCTTTGGGCCTCTTTTAGATACATACTGAAATATTTACAGGTCAAATACTACGTTGTTTTAGATTTACTCCAAATCTAAGTAGAGTGGGGTGGGGGAACATTAACAGATGAATCCAGAGCTGTTGGTAACTGGTTCAGATGGATGATAGCCACATGGGAGTCACAGTGTGCTGCTTCTATGTGATATGGCTGGGTTGGGAGGGACTCTTGGGGGCAGTTGGCTGTTGAGATGGTGTCTGGCCTCAAACTTGGAATCCTTGTCTCAGCTTCCTGGAGCTAGGATTATAAGCATGTGCTGCTACATCCAGCTTCTAGATATGTTCTCAGTCTTCCATAATAAAAATCTAAGATTTTTTTCTGTGTGTGTAAGTGTTTTGCCTGAATGTGGGTAGTGCACCAGATGTGTGTCCAATACTTACAGAGGCCAGAAGGCAGTGTAGAATCCCTTGGAACTGGAGTTATGGACAGATGGTTGTAAGCCACCATATGGGTATTAGGAACCTAACACAGGTCCTCTGCAAGAGCAGCAAGTGCTCTTAACCACTGAGCTATCTCTCCAGCCCTGAGATTTATTGCTTTTATATTGAATGCAAAATATAATGGGCAAGTGAAGACAGCACAGACTCTTGGCTTCTCCTGCAGGTCAGGTGCTATGCTGAGGGCAGTGCTGACACTCAGCCTCACCTATGGGTCAGTACCATGCTGGCACTTTGTGTTGGATGTCTTTCCTATACCAGATGCTCTCTCTTTGCAGTGAGTAAGTCAAATGGGCGCTGCCTGTATTAATCCGTGTGTTTCTTGAAGGCAGGAATTAATGGAATATGTAAATTGTTTATCATCTCTCACCATCCTAGCTGATCCCAGTATTTAACCTTCATTTATAAATATTTTTTTTTGACAGCTGGAGACCAGATTCAAGAGTGACATTAATGGGGGCATCTTGGCTGACAGGAAAGAACCTCTGAGGTGCCTTATAAAGTTCTCAAGCCCAAACCTTTTGGAAGCATTGAAGTCCTTAGCACCAGCCGGTGAGTGGTCAGCATGTCTTACCAGCCAGACCACTGCTTTTGATTCTCAGTAGCTGACTAGCTGATTACCTCTGAATGTTCCTGCCTCTCCAATTGCTGCCCATCAAGCCCTATTTTGCTTCTGCACTTAGTGGGGGTTAGGAGAAGGTACCCATAATTTTCTTCTGATCTTGGCCATTTTTAAGTTAATTGTCCCCGTGATTATGCTGGTTTTTTCTTTTTTTTTTTTCAGGTATAGCTGATGCACCGCTTTCCCCACTGCTCACCTGCATACCAAGCAAGAAAATGAATTATTTTAGAATTAGAGATAAATGAGATACATATGGCTTTGCTTGTATTGTACATGCAATTCCAGTTATGGCTGACTAGCTTCTGTATATAATCTTGTGTTTTAGAAATCAACCCTTGGCATTGGAAATTCAGTGTTTTTAATGTAACTGTTGGGATTAACTATGTCCTTCCTGTGTGCTTTCGCTTCTGTCTTCTACTAAATACAGCAGCTGTAGGCATTTGAGAAGTGATATCACACACGCACACATACACCACACACCCACAAAACACACAACACACAAAACACACAACACACACACACACAGAGTCGCTCAGAAGTCAAGCATGACACAGTGGCTGATCCTGCCTTTATCCCACTCCTCCTCATCCTTGGAAGTCTAGTCTCAGCCCCTGGTTTCTGTGGGATTTCGGAAACTACTCAACCCAGAACTTGTAGGAGAATCAGAGGGGAGAGCTCACTGCGTTAAGCTACTCCACAGACTGCATATCTGATGGCTTGTTTATATAAAATTATTCTGTTCTATTATACATACGTGGAGCATTCAAACTGAGCATCACTGTTACACTGACTTGTGAATAAAGATACTGGAAAACTGGTCTATCAGTTGCTTTGGATGAGAATCAAACAGGCTGAGTAGAATGCATAAACACAGCATTAAAGGACTAAGTAATGCTTTATACTGTGATATGTACAGACTGGGTCATCTGTTATGCCCAAAAGACCACCACAGAGATGGAATCCCACATGTAAAAGCAGAGAGCCTTTATTATAAGCTCCAGGCCTTGGTCTCTCTGTCTGTCCAATGCAGTGGTGAGAGCAGAGAGCCCTGAGTCAAGGCGAGGTAGAGTTTTTATCATAGCAGTGGTTGGGTGAGGGCATTTCCAAGGTTCAGGACCCTGATTGGCTGACATTTGTCTAGGGATATCAGTGAAACAAAAATAGGTGTGTGCTAGACTTGGGGACATCTGGCCACCTTATCTAATGGTTGGAATGTTTGGGATGTCAGGTACTTCCCCTTAGATGTAGGCCACCCCTGGGTGGGGTCAGCTTATGGCTTTTCCTGGGTGTGGGTGTTGCCAGAAGCTGTGCTTGGGCCTCTAAGCTTGTCATGGCAGCTATGTGGTCAAGCAGTTTTGGGGCCCCTCTAAGTCATCCAGTATGAAAAACTATGTTTTTACATGTAATGTGGTCAGATGTGTCAGGTACATCCCTTGTCCCTCAGTGATAAGAGTATATTGGGCTTTGTGCTGGTTATGCCCAGATCACGGGGAACCCCAAAAAGACTACCATGGAGACTGAATCCCAAGTATAAAAGCAAAGAGCCTTTATTTCAAGCTCTGGAGCTTGGTCCCTCTGTCTGACACAGCAGTGAGAGCAAAGAGCTCAGGTGGGGTGGGGTTTTTATCATAGCAGAGGTTGGGGTGAGAGGGATTTCCAGAGTTCAGGATGATGACAATTGTCTAGGGGTATCTGTAAAACAAAAATAGATGTGTGCTAGACTCAAGGACATCTGGCCACCTTATCTAATGGTTGGAATGTTTGGGATGTCAGGTACTTTCCCCATCCCTGGGTGGATCCCTGGGTGGTGTCAGCTTAAGGATTTTCCTGGATCTGGGTGTTGCCTGCCAGCAAACCTGTCACAGAAGCTGTGTCTGGGTCCCTAACCCTGTCATGGCTGCTGCATGGTCAAGCTGTTTGGGGGCCCCTCCATAGTGCTGGCTAGTTCTGTGTCAGTGTGATGAGCTAGAGTTATCTGAAGAGGGAACCTCAGTTGAGAAAAATATCTCCATAAGATCTGGCTGTACAGCTCACACACAATTGAGCCTGTATGATAATGAGTATTCAGAGATGGGTAATATCCGGGGGGCACTCACCAACCTAAGACAGAGCACCTGTGTGGCCTGGGCAGGCATCTCCATGATGAGTAAGGTGACCTGCTGACATCCCACACAACCTAAGTCAGAAGCTCATTTTTTAGTAAAAGGGGGACCTGTAGGGTCCTGGCCCCTGTTTTGGGTAACTGTTGCCTTGCTTGCTGACCTTGACCTTGATATCCTCCCTGTGCTAATTCCCTGCCGGGTTCCACCCTCCTGAATGCTTAAGGGAAGTTCCTTGTCTGTGTATCCGTTAACAGCTTAGATGTAAGTAGTGAACTTCTGCCCTCCAGGGTTCTCCCATTGTGCTGTAAGCCTGTATTTAAGACCTTTTCCCTCCTTCAATAAACAGCATTTGACATTAAATAAAAATAAAAAGATCTGGCTGTAGGGTATTTTCTTAATGAGTGATTGATAGGGGAGGGCCCAGTCCACTGTCAGTAGGGACACCCCTGGGCTGGAGGTCCTGGGTTCTGTAAGAAAGCAGGCTGAGCAAGCCATGAGGAGCAAGCTAGTAAGCAGCACCCCTCCATGGCCTCTGCATCAACTCCTGCCTCCAGGTGCCTGCCCTGTTTTAGTTTCTGTCCTGACTTCCTTTGATGATGAACAGTGATCTGAAAGTGTAAGTCAGATAAACCCTTTCCTCCCCAACTTGCTTTTTTAGTCATGGTGTTTTCATCACAGCAATAGAAACCCTAACTAAGGTTTAAAGATGCTAACTCCCCCTATACATACCTTTTTTTTCCCCTTTAATAAGATTTTGGGATTTGGCTGGTCAGTGGTGGCACATGCCTTTAATCCCAGCACTTGGGAGGCAGAGACAGGCGAATCTCTGAGTTCAGACCAGCCTGGTCTACAAAGTGAGTTCCAAGACTGCTACGGTACACAGAAACTCTGGAGAAAAAAAAAAGATTTTAGGATTTTATTTTGTGTATATGTATTTTGCTTGCATCTGTTTATGTATATCACAGTCATGCCTGGTGCCCTCAGAGATAAGAAGAGAGCATTAGATCCCCTGGAACTGGAGGTATGGATGGTTTGTAAGCCACCATGTTGGTGCTGGGAATCAAACCTGCTCTTCCTAAGAACAGTAAGGGCTCTACCACTGAGCCCTCCCTCCAGCCCCACTAACTCCCTTTGACCCTTGTCACGACTGGTCACATACTAAGGCATTCGGCCCTCAAGGTGCCTGAATGGTCAGATTGGAACTGCAGGAGTCCTTGAGCATCCTGGGGTATTCTACTACTTCAAAGTTCTCCCTGGTATAACGGCAGGGATGAAGATTGGAATCTGGATAAGACCCATCATATTATCCTGCTCGAGTAGTATCATACACTGCATCCTGTGGACCTCCCAGAGTGAGGCTCCTGCTTAAGAAAATTCTGGATTTGGGGCTTCTCAAACTTACCTATTAGATACTTGATGGCCATCTGCAAATGCCTGGGGATGGCTACTGCAGGAAATGCAAAGCCATCTGAGTCAGAAGAACTGACTCAGAATCCCTGTCTTAGTTACTTTCCTTTTTCAACAAAACACTGTGACCAAAGCAATTTATAGAAGGACGTGGTGGCACACACCTTTAATCCCAGCACTCTACAGGAGGTAGGAGGAGGCAGATCTCTGAATTTAAGGTCATCCTGGTCTACAAAGCAAGTTACAGTACAGCGAGGGCCGTTACACAGAGAAATCCTGTCTCGAAAAAAGAACAAACAACAACAACAACAAAAACCAATTTAATTGGGGGCTCACAGTTACAGAGGATTAGAATCCACACCCATCATTAGAGGGAGGATGGTGACAGGCAGGCGTTCGTGATAGTGGAGCAGTAGATGAGAGCGTCTATCTTCTCCACACACATGAGGCAGTGAGAGGAACCTGGGAATGACATGGGCTTTTGAAACCTCAGAGCCCACCCTCGGTGATACACCTCCTCCAATAAGGCCATACCACCTAGTCCTTCATAAACACTTCCGCCAACTGAGAAGCAAGCTTCTAAACATGAGCCTATGACAGCCATTCTCACTCAAACCACCAGTCCCCCAAATAACAGCAGTTTATTGAACACTTCATATGTGGCCAGCATTGTGGTAGTTATCTCATATGCATTAGCTCATTTCCAAGCTCTTATAAGCAGGTGCATCCTGACCTTTGTGGGAGCAAGCAATGTTTAGGACAATTTTACCTCGTAACCTAGCTGCCTTGAGCCTGTGACAATCCTGCCCCTACTTCCTGAGTTCTGTGGTGACAGGGGAGCCACCATTTCCAGTAGCATTACTGACCTTATTTTACTGACATGACTATCCTCCCAGCAGTCAGTCTTCATACCCTAACAATTGTTGGACAATTCTCAAAGACATCTGAATCATAATCCCTGGAATCCGAGTATGTTCCCAAGGCAAAGGGATCCTGCAGTTGAACGAAAGGCTCTATGGTACCCGGACAGGCCTGGTGTAATGGGATGACTGAAAATGTCGGTTATGGAATGTGACAGATTCAACTCGCCATTACTGATGTTGGTGAAGGGGGCCCTTGGCAAAGAAACGCAAGAGACCTCTAGAGGCTGGAAAAAGCAAGGTCCCTGGAGCCTCGAGTAAGAACCAGCATCTTGATTTCAGCTGAGTAGATCCACTTCAGACTCCTGCCCTCATCAGAGAGAGAAGATAACTAGTCTTTGGGAGCTGGGGATGTAGCTCAGCTGGCAGAGTACTTACCTATCTTGTACAAGGCCCTCAATTCGATCTTCAACACCACAAACCAGCACTAGGGAGGTAGAGGTAAGAGAATCAGGAATTCAAGGGCTCCTTGACTATATGGGGGAGTCTGAGGCCAGCCTGGGCTACATGAGAATCTGCCTCAAAAATAAATGTGTGCTGTCTCTCTTTCTCTCTCTCTCTCTCTCTCTCTCTCTCTCTCTCTCTCTCTCTCTCTCTCTCTCTCTCTCTCTCTCTCTCTCTCTCTCTCTCTCTCTCTCTCTCAAGTGCTACGGGATCAAACTCAAGGCCTTTAGCATGCTAGGCAAATGGTCTACAATATAAAACTAACTCCTAATAATAATAAGGCAACAACCCAAAAAATAAAACTAAAAACATCCCTCTTTCTTCTGTGCAGCTAATACCTGCGCTCAGGTCCCTAGGAAGAAGAACGGCTGGGTCCATGGAACCGATCCAGTTCACCTGTTCTCCCAGCCGTTGGCTCCGCTGATGGATGCGCCTCCGATACGCGCTCGCCGCGGCCGGCTGGGGGCGCTGCAGCGGCCGCCCCGCCGGATGCTAATGAGCCCGGCGGCCCCGCCCCCTGCCGGAAGTGGCTGCGGCGGGGGCGGGCACTGAGAGAGGGGCCTGGCGGCCGTGCGGGAACCATGGCGGCCACGGAGGCGGCGGCGGCTGGGTCCGCGGCTCCGGCCCCGGGTGTCCCGGCCATGCCGGCGAGCACGCGGGGAGCCGCCGCCGCCTCAGGCCCGTGGAGGCCGTCGGAGTCGCGGCTTCAAGGAAGCCGACCGCGACCGGCCAGGGCTCGGGCCGCGGCCCCGGTGCCACCGGCCCGGGAGCTGATCCAGCCGTCTGTGAGCGAGCTGTCCCGGGCTGTACGCACCAATATTCTGTGCACTGTGCGTGGCTGCGGCAAAATCCTGCCTAACAGTCCTGCGCTCAACATGCACCTAGTCAAGAGTCACCGACTGCAGGTGAGCGGGCCGCGGCGGGGGGCGCGGGGCGTGCGGGGTGTGCGCGGTGCCCGGCCACCTGCACTCGACCGTGCACGGAGGGAGCGCGAGAGCGCGGGGCGCGCACACGCAGCGGGCCAGCCGCTTCCCGGTGGCGTGCCCACAGCACCTCGGCGAGCTGCCGGTTACCTGGGTTCCTTGGATGAGCGACAGGTGATGCCACTAAGGCATCCGAGTGCAACCCCACGCGCTTTCCACTCCTCCCACGAAGCCGCCGGTGGGTCCTACCCGGTCATTCAAAAGCGGCTGCGGGTTGAGCTCTGGGCACTTGAGCTACAAGTTTCACAGGGTTGCTAAGATCAACTCTGCACAGGAATGAGATGGGAGGGGAGGCTTCTCTGTGGATTGTTAAGGAGGAGATCCACCGATAGATAGCACGACAGTCCTCTGAGCAAGACCGCCCCGCGTTACGTAAAAGGAGACAGTGACTTTCAAACCTATAGTATATTCTGGAAGCTTGGTAAAAATCAGATGCTGAGACCCCACCCCAGACCTGTAAAGTCACAACAGCTTTTACAAAAGGAAGCTTCCTTCCACCGTCAGATAGATCTCTATGCCCGCAGTTGAAGATTTGTGCATGTTCCCCGAGTCGGATTTGAGGGTCAGATCAGAGGGTTGCAGGCTCTGTGTGACCTTCAGGTAAATCCACCTTCGGCACTTCCCATGAGAACTGACCAGCAGCAACTCTGAGTTTCAGTCTGTAGTAGGGCAAATAAGTATGTACTTGAGGGGTGACCCGCCTTAGCAGCTGCACACAAGCGGCGACAGTGATCTCATAGAAAGGTCAGTCAGGAAATGTCAGCAGGGGCATGCTGAGGAAGTTCTGTGCAAACGTTTGGGCCTCCTTCCAGCACAAAAGTACAACTCACCATGGGCTTCGATCTGCAGTTTTCTCTTTCATCCTAAATGTTAATGAAACCCTCCCTTTTTTCCTACCACAGTTTGGGCGAAAAGTGAGTGTATAAGAATTCTACAACCTACTCCCCGAGTACCTGGTAACTTGCGTTCAACAACCATAACCTGCCTTTAGTATTGTCCCCTTGCTGATAGGTTCCTTCATGTCTTGTGTGGTCCAGGCTATCCTCAGACTCACTATGTAGCTGAGGATAACCTTGCACTTTTAATCCTCCCGCCTCCACCTCTCAAATGCTGAGATTGCAGGCATGGACCGTCATTCCCAGTTTATTCAGTGTGGGGATCAAACCCAGGACTTCCTGAATGCTAGGGGAGCACTCTCCTGAGCTGCATCCCCCGCCCCAGGTGGTAAGTTTCTTATCAGAAGCCACTAGTCTGATCAAAGGCTTCCTCAGTCTTGGCTGCTGTGACTCTAGCCAACATTTCTTAGCAAGTCGCTTGTTCTTTTCTCTGTTAGGAGCTCTGTACCCTCAAATCTTTGTTATGTCTTGGAAGCACTAAGATGCCCTGACTGTGGAGAACTAGTTTAATGATGTACAGTAGATTCTTTTTGATTATGTTTTTTAAGTGCCCAAAGCTCAGGAATACACATAACATGTGGCTGGAGGAACCTGTGTGAGCCAATACAGGTTTGGTTTCATTTGGTTCGGTTCTGAGGCAGGGTCTTACTGTGTAGACCAGGGTAACCTTACACTTGCTGGGAATGTCCAAGTGCTGGGACTACAGCATGCACCACCATGCCCTGCTCTAGCAAATGGGAATGTCAGCAGTCAGATCCTTCCTCGGATCTGAGCATGTCAGAGTACTGGTGTCCTCTTTTGCCTAGAGCCTGTGTGAAGTCATGTTTTCCAGAATCGTCCTTCATTTTTCAGATTCTCTCATCTGGAGATAGCAGTAAACAGGCCGGTCCCTTCCAGAGCCAGTATCTAAACTGCCTCAGAACTGTGGCTGCTGTTTCTCTGTCAGGCAGCTAGCTCACTTCCCTGTAACCTCTACCCAAGTAACCTCAGGACCCACAGCCCCTGGGCATCTGTGGTCTGATGGAAAGGAAGTCCATTTTTTTTTCTAATGAAGAGGCTTGTGTGATGTAGCCATACCTATGTGGTAAGGCCTCAGGTAGCAACTATGTGTACCCTCAGGCTGGCTACTACCCAGAGGCTCTTCAGTTCAATTCTCTTTTTTTGGACAAGGTTTCTTTTCTCTGTGTAGCTTTTGGAGCCTGTCCTGGATCTCGCTCTGTAGACCAGGCTGGCCTTGAACCCACAGCGATCCTTCTGCCTCTGCCTCCCGAGTGCTGGGATCAAAGGCGTGCGCCGCCACCCGCCACCACCACTGCCCGGCCAGTTCACTTCTTGATGTATGTTATTCTCAAAGTATTATTAGGGAAGAGAAGAGTGTGGCATGGGAACAAATGTGTTTTGGGGAGATTGATCAGTCAGGTATGTGCACCCCCTTCCTGCTCAAAAGCTACTTTGAAACTGCCTGATTGGCTGAATTTTTTTTTTTTAATTATGTGTCTGTTGATATGTCCACACAAGTATAGGTGCCCTTGGAGTCCAGAGAGGGCATTGACTCCCGTGGAGCGAGAGTTAGAGGTGGTTGTGAGCCACCTTGGCTGACAGGAGTGCTGGGAACTGAATTTGGGTCCCCTACAAGAACAGTACACAGTCTCAGCCCCTTTTGCCATTTCTCCAGCCCCCATATTGGTTGACTGTCTTCAGCTCAGTGGAAATTTTCATTGTCTTGGCTACAGCTACTTGTGTGGTTCTGATTTCTTTTCTTGTTATTCTATTTTTCCGGCCATGATAGTCTTTATTCCCTGTCCATTAGTTGTATGGTTATTTTATTCTAGTTCACCCCCAGCCGAATACCTAAGCTTCTGAAGGAAGCCGAGTGAGATGGAGGAGCTGGAAGCCACCTTTGGTTTTATGTGGGTTCTCAAAATAAATGTCTATATTCCACGCCCTGAAAGAAAATCTGGACGTGTCACCAGCCAGCTGTGCCTGGAGTGGGCTCGGCCGAGAAAGGGAGCAGTGATGCTTTGGAGTGAGAGCGAAAATGATCCAGAGGAAGAGTGGGAGGAAGCAGGCTCTGCCTGACTGCTGGAGAAGCCTGTGAAAGCAGGGCAGGGGCAGGTGGGCACTTACAGAGCCTGTTACCAAGCAGCATTCATGTTTTAAAGCCTGGCTTAGCGGGTTCTGCATTCTGCTCCATCCAAGGGTATGTTTTCAGCAATTTCCTGGGAAATTATTTCAGAGAGGAAAGAAAGGCCGTGGCAGGTTGCTCTGTAAACCATAGTATGTGAAGATCCACTGACTTTCAGTTTAGAATAGGTTAAAAAAAAAAAAAGTAGACTGGGCTCCTTGGGTGCTTTCTGTAAGGGTGGTGAGGTGCTAGGCAGTTTCTGCCACCATCTTTATGGTCTTCTCCTTCCTTGCCTCTCTTCAGCCACGTCCTTCCTTACCCTCCTTTTTCTGTTCTTTAAAGTATTTTTATTTGTGTGTGTGTGTGTGTGTGTGACAAAAGTGTGGGTGCTTATGGAGGCCAGAACCCGGCACTGGGTCCCCTGGAGCTGGAGGGGGACCCAGGTGCTTGTTCCAGGTGGTTATGAGCTGCCGGTTGCCACATGGGTGCTGGGAACCGAGCTCTGCAAGAGCAGCAGGTGCTCTTAACCATGGAGCCATCTCGCCAGCCCCTCCTCCTTTCATTGTGTGTTTTTCTCCCAACCTTGTTTTTTGGGGGGTTTGTTCTGTGGTGCTGAAGATGGAACCTGGGGCTTCACTTCTTGGCCCCCACCATCCTGTTTGGAATTGTCTTTTTCTTTTGTAAATCTTTAGAATATACAATTATTGTTATTATTTAAATGTAACTGTTTATTAAATTTAATTATTTACTTGTTTAATATTAATGTCACTTAAATAAAGTATTCCCACGTTTCTATCTGAGAAAGGAGTGTTTGGTTGGAGTAGAGCACCCTCTGAGAAGAACACAGAACACGGAGCCAGCAGCAAGGCAGGAGGGTAAACATGTAGCGGTAGGGTGTGGACCGTCTTTAATCGTACACACGAGACGTAGGCCCCTAACTGGCAAGTGTTTGTGACTGTAGACTGCAGGTAACTGCTTTACCGCTATGATTCCTAGTATGGTGTGCCATCGTGTCTCCTGTCCCTAGCTGACTTTGAACTCACTGTCTCACAATGCAAGTAGAAAGAAATCCCAAAGCCCTGTGGGTCTCTGTAATGATCTGTGGTGAAGGAGTTGGCCCCCCGAAGGTGGGAATATGTGTGACAGTGGGTGGTTGCTATGGGCAGGGGTTTTAGCATCCACTTGCACAAGTGTTGAGGTCTCATCTCCACATGAAGTGCAGTTCTGGCTCAGGCAGGCCAGGTGAACAATATACAAGCTCGTATTGAACATTTACTGGTTCTGAATAATCCTGGAGCCACCAGGTAACACAAATGAAGAGGTTGGGAAGTTAAAATTACAGGCTGAGCATCTTAAATGCCTCCAAATCCAGAACTCTTGGAGCACCAGCACGAAGCTCGAAACCTTCAGATTTGGGAGCATTTGGGGGTTTTTAGCTCAGCAAGGGAA